CCTTTTTAATTCTTCCTCCTTGGCTGGCTGTAATGTAAATGATTACTGACTTGGGAGAAACCTTCAGATTCAGATAAATGGATTAGGGAGTATCAATAAACCAGCCAGCCTGAGGGGCACACTGTTATCCCAGCACTCTGGGAGGCTGAGGCAGGAAGACTGCGTATTTGAACGCAGCCTGGGTAACTTGGTTATCAAAACCCTATCTTAAAAGAAAAACAAGGCGGCTGGGGATGTGGCAGCCTGTAAAGGCCCTGGGTTCAGTCTCAGTGTTAAAAACAACAAAAATGAAAACAAAGCTTGGGAAACTGACTGCAATTGGGAAACCAACACAGTAACATAACTTTTTTTTCTTAAACCATTTATCTATCCAATTACTTTCATTTAGGATGACCAAAAATTGTACATTTTTTCATTAATTTTTATATGATAACAGGAAATATAAAAATGAGTTTTATCAATGTCCCAAACCTGTCCTCTTTTTATTATAAAAGAATATAACCGAGTTCTGGAGAAGCAGAAATATTTATCTAGGCTGGGATGGTGGTGCACACCTTTAATCCTGGCATCAGGAGGCTGAGGCTGTTTGAGGCCAGCCTGTGCTGCTGCATACATAGTGAGTTCAAGGGTAGCCTGAAATCCATAGTGAAACTCTGTCTCAAACAGACCAAAAGCCAAACAAACAAAATATATATATTATATCTAATGTATTTATGTTTTTATATATTGTAGCACAAAATTATAGGTTATTTTATTTTTTACAAATAAACAGAATTAGTAAAAGAAAATAACCAGAATTATTAGATTTCACTAGAAACAAACATCAAAGACACATACAACGTTCAAAATAAAAAAGTATGCAAACATAGTCAGACAAGCAGATGTACGAGTGTATCTCCTGCAGACAAGAATGGACTGAAGTGATACTACTGCCTGTGAGTACTGGGGACAGTCAGGATGGGAACCAGTGCACTGCCCTGAGTTGTTACAGCAAAATCCACTGTGGAGACCTGCGTTGCCCAGCAGTGTTCCGGGGCTCATTAGGTTGGCAGAGTATGAAGTAAATGAATACCAGATCCCAGCACAAGTCCTCAACTCAGGCTAGGATGAGAATCCTTTTCTCTCTACTCACCTCTAGGCTGTTTTCTTTCCTGCTTGTTTTTACATAGACTCATAAATGGTTAGGACTAACAGCCCTTCAAAAAAAATCTAGTGTAACTCATTGAATAGGTGAGAAAACAAAGTTCCAACAAGATTAATATAATTATGGAAGCTTAAATTTACTAAACTGCACTGCTTGTAATTCTTGGCAAGTTACAAGGTGTGATCAAAACCTATGGTGAAGCTGGGCGTGGTGGCTCACGCCTGTTAATCCTGGCACTCAGGAGGCTGAGGCAGGAGGATCAGCATGAGTTGGAGGACAGTCTGGGCTACACCGGAGTTCAAGCACAGCCTGAACTACAGAGACCCTGTCTCCAAAAGCCAAAACACTGCAGTGAGTGTTTACAAGATTATTTCAGTAAAAGACACATTCCTGATCTCCCTCAAAATGCTCCCTCTCACTTTGAACACACTTGCTGCAGCATTCCTGTCACTGCCCGAAGCAGTTCCGAGCACTCTCTTGTGTCTGCAGTTGCTCTGCTAGGCTGCCTGGCGTCCTGCTTTGACTGAGCACATTTACCTTTCAGGGCCGTTTGGACTTTGGGGAGGCACCAGACACTGGCAGGTGCCAGACCAGTGAGTAAGGCGATGAGAACACATGGTGATACCCCTACGAGTCTGCCTCTCCCTGGCTGCCAGTTGGCCGCTGCAAATTTTTGATACCTCTTCCTAGAGAAACCCATGGAAGAGGACTTCCAGAGCTGCTTCAGAAAGGGCAGGAATGCTGGGAGCAGAAGGGCACCCTGTAACCCAGCACTTGGAGGCTGAGGCATACGGACTGCTGCGAGTTTGAGGCCAGCCTCAACTACAAAGCAGGACTGTCTCCAAAAACAAAACAGAAAGTGGGAAGGATGATGGGATGAGTGTGTCCAAAGCAAAGGGCAGTTATTTGAGGTGGGCAAATGGCAACGTGTCTTTTACTGTAATAATTTTTTTTTGTCTTTTTTTTTTTTTATCGGTACCGGGGATCGAACTCATGACTGCCTGCTTGCAAGGCAGGCGCTTATGCTGCTGAGCTAAACCCTCAGCCCCTAAACTTTTAAAAATTTAAATATTCACTGTATATTTTGATCACCTCTTGTACCTTGGAACATCTTTAGGTATGCTAGGTTCAAGTTTTATGAAACAAAATGCTTGAATTTTTAGGAGTAGAATGAGAATGTGAACATTAAGAAGGTAAAGACAAGAGGAATCCTGCTTTCTAAAATACATATTCACTGCCAGGTGTGGTGGCACACACCTGTAATCCTAAACTGAGGAGGCTGAGGCAGGAGAATCACTGAGTTTAAGGCCAGCCTGGGCTACGTAGCAAGAGCCTGTCTTAAAATAAAAGACAACGTAATCCCTCACATATTCACAAGTTGTCAGGGGAATGACAGGGTGCAGACTCTGTGTTCCTCTGCACTCTACCTAAAAGTTTAGGCCTGAGTTTTAAGTTGTGAGCTTTTGTTTTCAACCATAAACCTAAGTACAATAAACACAGTTTTTTGTGTGTCTTTTTTCCTTTTTATCGGTACTGGGGATCAAACTCACGACTGCCAGCTTGCAAGGCAGGTGCTTATGCCGCTGAGCTAAATCCCCAGCCCAGTGAACACAGTTTTATCTCATAAACTTAATGGAGTTTCGTGGACGGCAGAGGTGGCAGGCAGGGTGTGGCAGGAGGCTGTGGAGTGGACAGGTGCTGACCTGCTGCAGAGACCCACCTCCATCCCAGGCTGCCACTGGAGCAGTCACTGAGGACAGCAGCTGCCGCAAGGGGGCTGGCTCTGACCTCCCCTCTCCCTGAGCCAGCCGGCCAACCGGCTCTGCGTACCTGCGTACTGTTTCTTCCTGTTTTTCCATCGGGTCTGTCTTTGTTTGAGACAAGATCTTGCTTTGTGGCACAGGCTGACCTTGAACTCAGTGACTCTCCTGCCTCAGTGCCTGATGCTGGGGTTACAGGTGTGTGCCATCACAATGGGCTATCTGACCAATGATTTCACATACGAATGCTACAGAGCCTCTTCAGTATGAGTATCTTATTTCTTGCCTACTAAAATGTTGCTTGTGGCCAGGTGTGGTGGCAGCCCGCCTATAGTCCCAACACTCAGGAGAGGCTGAGGCAGGAGGATCATTGTGAGCTTGAGGCTGGCCTGGGCTACAACCTGAGTTCAAGGCCAGTATGAACTGCATAATGAAACCCTGTCTCAAAAAAGACAAAAAACAAAAATAAAAATGTTGCTCCTTTCCATCTCTATGACTTAAAGTTTCTCCTGCCTTATTTATTGAAACAAAGTCTCTCTGTAATTTACACTGAACTCACTACACACATGGCCCAGGCTAACCTTGGTGACCCTCCTGCCTCAGCCTTCTTGGGTTACAGGTATGTACCACAGTGACTGACCGAGAAGTCATTTTCTTTATTTTTTTTTTGAGAAGTCATTTTCTTGATTGACTTAACTTTGTTCTTTGAAATGCAATATTATGCCCCCCGTTTTTTTCTTTTGGTACAGCCTGGACAACCTCGTGTTTGCCAGACAGGCAGGTGCTTATCTCACTGAGCTAAATTCCCAGTCTTATTTTTTGACACAGGGTTTCAACTGTGTAGTGCAGGCTGGCCTTGAACTCTTGGTGATCTTCCTGCCTCACCCTCTGAGTGCTGGGATTATAGGTGTGTATCAGTATACCAAGCTATTATGTTTTTCAATAGCTCTTTTTCACAGTGGGGTGCAAAAATTAAACATGCCCCAGACCTATTTTAAAAATTTGAGTCAGGAATTTGCCAAATTACCCAGGCTGGACTTGAGTTTGTGATATTGCCTTGGCCTTTTAAATAGCTGGTCTTATAGGTATGTGCTATCATTTCTGGCTTTGTATCATATTTTGAAATGTCACATTGCATCTCACAAATATATAATTATGTCAACTGAAATGAAAACTTAAAAGTTTTAAAATTTCAAAAGAAATAGTTTTATTTTCTCCAAAACAAAACTGAAAGTCAGCAAGCAGTTCCATCAACCTGGAAAGCTACTGCCCTCTAGAGGTAGATGTGCAAATGCTGGTGCTTTTGCTTTGTGACTTAAAGAGGGCAAGGAGAGTTGCTTCTGGCATTCAGTTTCTGGGGCCAATGGATGCCAGACATACTAAAGTGCAGTTTACTTAAAGAAGAATTTGTTCAAGACAGGCTCTTGCTATATAGCTCTGGCTGGTCTTGAACTCATGGTAGTGCTCCGGCCTCAGCCACCTGAGTGCTGGGATGACAGGTGTGTGCCACCACACCCGGCCCACCTTTTTCTTCTACATTAAAGCATACACTCAGAGTTGCAGACCTTCCACAGAGGCACATCTGTCTGGAGCTGGCAATGTTTGTGCTCTTGGCAGTGGAGGTCTGTAAAATTGGTGAATCTATAAAGTCTGGGCTTGGTTATGTCCCCCTTTTAAAATTTTTTGTCCCCCTTCTTTTACATAGGGAAGCTGCCTGCTAACTGCAGCGGCCATCTGGGCCAGGGAAATGGAAGCTGCACTGTCCTGCCTGCTGCATCCTGAGTGGTCACCTAGGGCAGATCCACTGGGTTTTAGAGAAGGATTTCTTGCTACTTTTCATATACCGAGTGCTGAACTGCTCTGTCAACTATGGACTCCAAATGGTCTTAATGAAGATTTTTTTTTCTGAGACAGGGTCTCAGTATATAGTTTGAGCTGGCCTGGACTCACTCTGTAGCTCAGGCTGGTCTTGAACGTGCAGTGATCCTCCTGCCACAGCCTCCCAAGCGCTAGGATTACATGTGTGTGCCACCATGCCCAGTGGTAACAAAGATTTGAATATAGTATTTTTAATGTATATTTGAGTCACATATTCATGCCTTACAAAAAACAATCTTTATTTATAAACTCAATACATTATTGTGGAGCTCCAGTGACACCCAATTGTCTGCTCAGTTGACTTGTGAGGCGGAAGACTGCTAACTCTGAGGGATGGAAGCGTCTTGAGGACGGATGCTTTGCCAGCTTGGGCAGAGAGAGACCCTACGCCTCACAGGGAAAACAAGGAAGCTCCCAAGGGCACCGTGAGATTAAAGTTCATTATTCAGTGGAACTGCCAGTAGGCTTTGTTTGCCTACACTGCTACCTAAAACATCTGTGCTCAGCAGAACTCTATGCCTTGGTTGTTCCGCAGAAAATCCAGGGTTTGAGTCAGTTTGAGGCTTTTCCCCATTCTGGGGAGGACCCCTGACACCCTCCCCAAAGCTGTTCTCTGTCTCTCCCACCTTATTTGTCTAATAGGGCTTTCTGACCTGAACCCGGTATATTACCCAAAAGCACAGTCCTGCATCATTTTAAGAAGTTAAACTCCTTAAAAAGAGTGGGGAAACTTCATTCTAGATGTAACACTACAATTCCACTGCTATTTTTACGTCTAATAAGTTTACATTCAGGGTGACCCAGGTCTGGCTCACGTATTTATCTGTTTTTCTTCTGCACATTGTACACCAGGGAAGGAGGTTTTTTGGTTTTGTAGGCCACACTTTTCCTGATGCGTTGTCCTTTGATGTTAACGATATATGGCAAGAGAGGAGGCCGGACGGTCAAGACCGTCCCCTCGGGTGTGTAGCCTCGGAGATGCAGCCTGTCCTGCAGATGAGGTGTCACAGCAACCCAACCTACAAGGCAAGTGACAGACACAGAAGGCTGTCAGAAACTACCTAAAGAGAATGACAAAGCAAATGAAAAACAGGACAACAATCAAGCAACACCAAAAAAGAGCACCAAAGAAAAACTCCAAATGGAGCAACAAAGAGGGTTTGAAAATATGCTTTCTTTTTGCTGTGTTTTTAAAAAAACATGCAATACATTCGTTAGACTATGAACTTATTTTCAGAACGGATTGCCTTTTATGAATAAAACTATATATATTCCTTAAAATCAGGTATCTTTCTATGAAAACACACAATGCTACTTTGCTTTTTGTCTTGTCTTTTTGAGATGGGATTTCACTATGCAGGTCAGGCTGTCCTTGAACTCACAGTGATCCTCCTGTCTCAGCCTCCTGAGTGCTACGATTACAGGCCTTTCATTTGCTTTTTTTTCTTTTTTCTTTTTTTTTTTGTCTTTTTCATTTTTATCGGTACCGGGGATCGAACTCACGACCGCCTGCTTGCAAGGCAGGTACTTATGCCGCTGAGCTAAATCTCTAGCCCCAGGCCTTTCATTTGCTTTTAAAAAAGGTGCTTGAGCTGGGCGCAATGATGCATACTCCATGCTTGTAATTAAACAGCACTTGGGAGGCTGAGACAGGAGGATTGCTGCAAGTTCAGGTCAGCCAGGGTTAGACAGTGAGCTTAAGGCCAGCGTGAGACCCTGTGTTTAAAAAAAAAAAACAAACTTGGCCATACATTTACCTGCGGAGGAAAACTTGATGTCAGCCACTGCTTCAGACTGCCCAAGTCCTTCTTTTAATGTAATGTCTTCAGCAACAAGAGGAGGAAATTCTGCCATTCGTTCTTCTCCACCCATTGGAACCTATCAATGAAATAAAATGATGAGGTTTCAAAATGCAAGTTAGGTTCTCTGTAACTATAATATCATGTAAATCACTGATGATTCTGTACAAAGAAGGAATAAAATCCTGAACATGCAACTGCTGTTCAAAGCATGGGAGCTCTGTGATGAGATGGAAACTCCAGATTCTAGCGTCCAGGGCTACCGTTGGCAAGGTCTTAGTTACTCTTTTGTTGCTTGGACAAAATACCTGACATCCACATGTTAAAGGAGGAAAATTTTAGTTTAGCTTACAGTTTGTAGAGGTTTCTGTTCATAGCCAGCTGGCTCCAAGGCAGGGGAGCATGGCAAAGAAGAAAATCCATAGTAGGCAGGAGGCGTTGAGTAGCAAGAGTGAGCCTCCCTTTCTCTTTTAATCTATCCAGGCTATAACCCTACTGGTTGGTGCCACCCTCACCCAGGGAGGTCCTTCCCTTTCTCCACTCTCAGACCTATGCTAAACTAATTTAGTTATCACACACTCTTCATTCGTATCTGCATACCTTAGACCCAGCCACCACTGAAAAGGTCTATCTATGAGCACATGATGGTTTTGGGGGGGGTGCATTATCTTTAAACCATTACAGGCATGTACCTCACAGCAATGTACAGACAAGTGAACTGTACTTTATTTACACTGATTTTATAGCACCTCATCAGGCTTACATGGTGTGGTGGTGAAGCTTAATTATGTCAACCTGAGTGGTTTGGGCACTGCCTAGCACACTTCTGGGTATTGGTAGGTGGGTCGTAGATGTGAAACTCTGGGTACTGTGTTCCCTGCCCCTTCCTCTCTGGCACTGTTACCCTACTCTGATCCCTGGTCATCACTGACTAAGCATTTCCACTCCAAAATGCCCTTCTGCCATGTATTTATGCTTCTGGAGCCAGGGGACCACGACTGAATCTCCTGAAACTATGAGCTACATTAAACCTCTCCTTCATTAAGTGTGGGTGATGAGTACTGTGACCTAGTGATGGGAGAGTTGACTAATACAGAAAATTGGTCCTGGGAGTGGGGCCACTGCTGTGACTATTATCTGAAATGCAGTTTGGAAGCCTCTGGAACTGGTTTGCAGGATAAAGGTGGAAAGGCTTGGAGATGTGAGGCTGAGAAGCTCTAGAATGCTGTAAACAGGGCTTTGGAGGTGACTGGCTAGAGGTTTGAAAAACAATGTTGATAACATAGGCGGATAGTAAAGGCCAGGCTCAGGAGGTTTCAGATGGAAATCCAGACTTCCTTGGCAAATGGCTAGAGGCCATTTGTGAAACACTGTCAAAAATAAAAATTCATGTAATAGTTTATCCGTTTTCTGAGACTTTATGGGAAACTAAGACTAAGGGTGATGAACTAAGCCGGGCAGAGAGATACATACCTATAATCCCAGCACTCTGGGAAGCTGAAGCAGGAAGACTACAAGTTTGAGCTGGAAAACTCAACAAAACCCTGTCTCAAAAATAAAACAAAAGGGCTGGGGATTGTTATAGCTTAGATGTTCCCCCAGTGTCTTGCTGGTCACAGGTGGGGCTTCTCAGAGGTGGCTGTCTCTCCAGTGTGTGATGCTGTGATCAAGGGTGATTACTAAATTAGTCCACTGCCTGGTTTGGAATAGTCCTAGAATTAGGGTGTGAGTGCTACCTGCCCTCAGGGTATGTAGCCTGGATAGAATATAAGGGATGGAAAGGGTCACTGCTTGTCACTGGTCGCTTGCTTGCTGACTTCTCCTATCCTGCTTTGCCACTGACTGCTTCTTCTCTTGGATGCCCCTCTGCCATGCCACCCTGCCCTGGAGTCAATGGACTATGGACTGAAATCTCTATGAACTGTACGCCAACTAAACCTTTTCTCTTTTAACTTTGGGTGCTGGGTACTGTGTCTCAGCAATAAGAAAAATAACAAAGACAGGGATTTAGCTTAGTGTGGAAGTCCTGAGTTTAATCCCAGGTACTGGGAGAGGGAAAAAATAGTAGTACACTAATTGATCTGGCAGAGGAAATTTCAAGGTGATTCAACTTGATAGTCTTTGGCAAGGGTACTGTTGGCTAGATAGTGATTTATCAGGAGCAAAAAAGCAGAAAAATCTGAAAAATTAACCTTTTAGCTTAAAAGGAACCATGTGTAAACTTGAAGTTGGCTGCTGAGGTTAGTACCATTAAAAAGAACCAAAAAAAAAAACCCCCAAAAAACAAAAAACAAAAAAACACAAGGCTTTGTGCAGGGACAAGAAAGCGGCCTTGAGGGCATCTCAGAAATCACAATCAGCAAGGCTCCATTCATCATCTCAAGGGTACAAAAGTGTCAACCTTGCCTTTGGGTGTCTGTGGAACCTTGCTTGAGAAGGGCTACCGAGATAGTTCCTCAAGATTCATTTCAACATGTGCAGCCACCCAGACCCTCAGAGGCCACTGCATTCATGGTCCAAGGGCGACCTGACTACTTCTCAGCTGGCAGAAGACACTGGCATTGTTCACACTGCTGGTTTTGCAGGCATGCAGAGCGTGAGAGTTGTGGAGTCAGGGAGGTTTCCATCCCCTTTTCAGAGGACGGCCCAGCACGCCAGGCACACAGCCCTACAGAGGGCAGCGCCTAATGGAATGAAGCCCAGGTTGCAGCAGAGACTCCAGAAAGGCGAGTGTTTGCTCACTAGCAGCTAGTGAGATGTGAGTTCCAAAGGGCCTGGGCAGCCCTGCCGCTAAGGCTTTGTGGTTGTGGTCCACATGGCCTGTTTTAGGCTGGCCCTGGGTATAGCCTATAGGGTTCCTGAGCTGCTAGTTATGGATGTATAGGACTAAATGTTTACCCTGCTGGGTTTCAGTTTTGTTTTGGCCTGGTTCTTTTCCATCTTCCTATTCTTCCATTTCCTAAAATGGGAATGTTTACTCTGTACTATTATATATTGGAAATATACAGCCGGTTTTTGAATCTTTTTTTTTTTTTTTTTCTTTGGTACTGGGAACCTAACGCAGGACCTTGTGCTTTCCAGGCAGACACTGTGCCACTGAGCTATATGTCTGGCTCCTTTTTACATTTTATAGGAATCACAGCTAAGCGTTGGCCCTGAGTCTCAGAGACTGACTTAAGACTTTTTTGTTATGCAGGAACTGTTCAGACTTTGGGAGAAAGGATTATTGTGTTTGGGTTATATGCAGGATAGCTGCATCACATTAGGTGGAATTTTATTTGGAGAGTAAGTATGGTTTGAGATATAAAAGTTTAGGTGTCCCCAGCTTACAAGGGGTGGAATGTGGTTAAATGTGTCAATCTGATTGGTTTGGGTGCCTCCTGGCGGAATCAGTAACCCGTTTCTGGGTGTATCTGGGTGAGTAATGAGAGGCACGACTCTGGGTACTGCACAGTGTCTGACCCATTCTTTTCTGACACTGTTTTCCTGTTCTGCTTCCCTGCTGCCATGACCTAAGCATCTTCACTCCATCATATCCCTGTGCTGTTGTGGCCTGGGAGATGGGTGACCATGGACGGAATCTCCTGAAACCATGAGCCAAACCTCTCCTCCTTTACACTGTGGGTGTTGGGTACAGTGTCCCACCGATGAGAAGGCAACTACTGCATGTGTAGCGGTGTTGAGCAATTAGGACAAGTTTCTTCTAAATACCTTTGTTGTTATAAGTGTGACAAAAAGATGAGTCCTTGTTTCTTCAAAAGTCAAGGATCCATACAAGTGCATTTCAGCTTCTCTATTTACAGACATTTCCATGAATTGGAAGCACCTAAATAATATTTTTGACAAATAATAAATTTCTCCTGTTTAAAAGTAGGGACACAAATGTAAGATGTTATAATATGGTTCAAAGGAGTAAATAACATATAAACTATTGCAAGATAAGGTGCATGAGGGTATCTATGAAACACTACTACAGCTGTAGAAGGAGTTATGAATTTGTTTCAGTATAGAAAACATTAGCGATGAACAAGATATGAGCAACACTTTGAGAAATGGTCTAAATTACTACGTAGGAAAGTATTCTAAGTTAGCACACATACAGCACAAAGCTGGAGAAATGATGAATTCAGGAAACTAGTTATCCAGAGAAAGAGGGCAGGAGGGAGGGAGGGAGGGGGAGGAGAAGGGAAGGTGAGAGAGAGACAGAGAAGGGTGAGAGTGGAGATTACCGGTGAGGCTGTCAGCTTAGGCTTCTCTCAGAAATGCAAATTATACATAGAAGAGGGAACAGAGATGAAAATAAAAAATGTTGGTGCCTTATTTCTCTGAGTACTCACATTCTGCTTGAGTGGGTCCTGTATCTACCTTCAATAAATCCTTCTTGTGTCTCTTAAAAAAATAAAAAGGAATGCGATCTGCTTTGTATTTTTAAAAGACTTCCCTAGCAGGGCATTTTTAAACCTCAGTCCTACTTATATTGGAGCTAAGGAACTGTCCTGGAAGGCTGTGCTGTGAATGGTAGGATGTTTAGCAGCATCTCTGGCTTCAAGAAGCCCTTAAGGTATAAACTCAGACATGCCTCCAAGTCTTTTGAAATGACCTCCAGGGAGGACTCACCCTACACTGAGAACTGGAGGTACAGTCAGGAGTGGAGAGGATGGTTAGAGAGTAGGATGGGGGAATACAAACAGGGCTCTGAGAGCTGGGTGTGATGGCACATGCCTGTAATCCCAGCACTCTGGGAGGTTGAGGTAAGAGGATCCCAAGTTCAAGTCTAACTTGGGGAATTGTGCAAGACTGTCTCAAAATTAAAAAAAAAAAAGTGACAAGGATCTAGCTGGACTGTAGCTCAGTGTGAAGGCCCAGGGTTCAATCCCCAGTACTGCCAACATAAAACAAAGCAAAAACACTGGGGACTTGCAGAATATTTAAAGACTTCAAGAGCAGTGGAATGACAACAGCTTGGTATCCAGAGATAATTAGGAGGCAGAACACACCAGGTTTAGGAGACTAAGAAGAAAACAAGGAGGCAAAAAAAAAGCTTCAAAATAAAATAACTCAAGAAACTGTGTTCAACTGGGCAGGAGGCTGGGGTTGTTATTTGGAGGTGCCAATGGTGTTCACTAGAAAAACTACACAGGTTGCATATGGTTGGGACCACGAGAGTTTATTTTTAACGTAAGCTGTTTTACACAACTAAGGAAATTTTTTTTTCTGCAAGTCTCAGACTGTATTTGGATTACTGTCTACCTAAAAAGTGAACAAATGGAGTAAGAGAACTAAAGCCCAGGGGTGCAGAAAAACAACAAAGCCTGTGCGGCTCAGCACTTAGGTGCTCGTCTTCCTGGGATAGCCTACCGTGCCTGGAATCTTAAATGCATAGTGACTACATCAGTGTAGTTTTCATTTCAGTCTGACTTTCTTAGGAAATGTGAGGAGGAAGAAGTATTTACTTCTCAAGTCAGGCTCATTTTTAAAATTTTCTTTGAAGGGAGTGAGGGCCATGCACACACATTTTTTGCAGTATTGGGGAGTTCAATTCAGGGCTTTGTGCATACCAGGCAAATGCTTTATGACAAAGCTATTTCCTTTTTCTTTTAAAAACCTTATTTTCAGTTGCATAAGCACTAATACTTTGGTTTTGTTGTTTTTTGATTTGATGAGACAGGGTCTTGTTACGTACTCTAACCTGCCTTAAATTTGCTACATAGCTATGGCTGGCATCAAATCTGCACCCCTCCTCGAGTGCTGTGATGACAGGCGTGCACCACCACACTTAGCTGTGTGAGCACTAGTACTATTCACTGCTGCTCCGGATGACCTTATTTTTGCAAGAGATGTGCTTCATTACTGTCACTGCCACCACTAATCCTTGTATGTATACAGAATCTTTTCGAGTCTCATGAGGTAGGTACAACACAGACAGGTAGAGGAAATCTGCTTAACGGTACACAAATGTGCTGGGCTGTAAAGAGAAGGGATGAGCAGGTCATTTAAGCTAGCTAGCTTTCTTTCTTTCTTGTCTGTTTTGAGACAGGGTCTCACTGTGCGGTTCAGGCTGGCCTTCAGCTCACCTTGTAACCCAGGCTGGTCTTGAACTAGCAGATCCTCCTGCCTCAGCCTCCTGAGTGCTGGGAATACAGGTGTGTGCCATTACGCCCAGCTCCTTTCTTTAACTGAACATTGGAAACAATCCTAACATATTTATAGGCCAATGAAAGGAGCTAGGAGAGCAGGAAACAGAAGGGTAATATGTAAAACGAGTGCTGGGACTAAGAATTCATTCTATCTCAAGTTAAAATAAATAAGGGCCAGAGATTAAGCTCAATTCAATCCTAGTACCAAGAAGAAAAAGAACGTAGGAGGAGGAGAGCTTTTCTACTCAGATCAGGGCTCCTCAATCACCAGTGCTGCCTGGATTGATCTCGCTCTTGTGTGGGGGGCCCTGTGCACTGAGGATGTGTAGCGGCAGTGGCCTCCCCCAGTGGATGCCCAGGGATTCCCCAGCTGTACCTTTCCCACTCAGCACTGTCCAATACAAGGCTGCAAGAATATGGCTATCGGGGATGTGAATGGTGGCCAGTGTTACTAAGAGAGCATATCTTAACTTTAATTTTAACTAATGTAATTAAATTAGATAGCCATACATGGCCAGTGGCTTCCACACTGGCCACCGCTTACCAGTGTGCGGTCACCCAGCCAGGCCCCTCACCTGGAGCAGGGCATGACCTGCGTGCTTCTGGTACACAGCATCCGCCTTATCCAAGGAAGTGATATGCACGGGGAGGAAGTTCGAAGCCACAACTGTAAACCAAGCTGACTGGTTTCCCTGAAGACAGGAGGAAAGAGATTTTTTTTATACCATGGAAAATTTGGAAACCCACATGTTACCAGACATGATAAAAAATGAACCAAAATAAGCAACCTTTGTATGGTACATTGTATAGCTACTGGTATGGCAGTAGCTATAATTGAATTATGTTAATGCCAAAAATAAGTATAAAAGATACACACACACACACACACACACACACACACACACACACATATATGGACTATAAAGAAGCACAGAATTAATTTATTATTTAAGCCTGGATCTAAAGGCTTGACCTTATGATTTCTATGTGAAATGACATCTTGTTTTAATTGCTAAGCTGTATGGGACACTATCACATTGATAGTATAGATTTTTTTTTTTCCTGAGGCAGGGTCTCACTACGCAATTCAAGCTGGCCTTGAACCCACTATGCAGTCCTAGCTGACTTTAAACTTGCTGTGAGCCTCCTGCCTCAGCTTCCTGAGTGCTGCAATTACAGGCATGCGCCACTATGCCCAATGACAGTATAGTTTTAAAGACCAGAGCTAGGCATGGTGACACATTCCTGTAATACCAGCACTCAGGAGGCCGAGGCAGGAGGATCTCCTGGGCCAGCCTGGGCTACATACTGACACCTGTCTCAAAAAACAAAACAAAACAACCTAAACAATAAATACTCAAAGACAAAAATAAAAAAAGGTCTTGAATGTTTCATTGGGGGGGGTAATATTTTAAAAACTCTCTATACAACCATGACTTATTTATTTGGTACCAGGGATTGAACTCATGACTTTGTACTTGCCAGGTATTTGTGCCACTGAGCTAAATCCCTGGTCACATGACTTAATTATTCTAACATTTTGCCAGGCCTGTTATGTACCCGCTTCATTAAAGTGCATTCCAACCTAGTGTGGTGGTGCACCCCTGTAATCCCAACACTGGGAAGGCTGACACAGGTGGATCCTTACAAATTCAAGACTAGCCTGGCTACAAAGTGAGCCCAAGGCCAGCCTGAACCGCACTGCGAGATCTTGTCTCAAAAAAGCAACAACAAACAAAACAAAACAAAAAAAATGAAGTGCATTCCAATGCTTTTTTTTTTTTCTTCATTTTTCACTTAAGGTCTTACTGTGCAGACCAGGCTGGCCTTGAACTCTCAGAACTCCTGCCGCCCACACTGCCCTATCAACTCATTTCTCCACAGCGCAGCCTTTTCTTACCTGCAGGAAGTCGATGCGGCCTATGGCACCCAGAAATAGAACCATTCCTGGTTTAAGCACAAAGGTTCTTGGGACAATGGAGTATGTTGGCAAAACGTTATTTACTTCTTTATCTGTTAGAAGATTTAAAATCTGTGAAGCAAATGGCACATTTTTTACAGAGAATTACTTTTATTCAAAGTAATGGCAGTTTGTGATTTACCTGTAAAATAAAATGATAAAAAAATTATGGCATCTAGTCACACAAAAATTATATACACTAGTTAAAAATTAATTTCCATACATTGAGTAGAGGCAGAGTAGCTTGATAGATCTATAAGACTTTCTTATGTCAACAGCATCCCCTAAATGTCACCATCAGAATGAACCTCAAAATACCAGGATACAACATTCAGAGGTAAAAGGCGTGTGTGAAGGTCCTATGGGGTGCTTTCCAGGTTAATGGGGTGTAATCTGTGACCTCATGTCCTTGTGAGTGTGCACGTGTAAAATGCAAATCGTTACCCTACCTTACAAGTAGGTCAAGAGCTTCTTAAGAAGCTCCTTCTAAATTGTAAACTTCAATACCCCTATTTTCCTGGGAGATTCAGCAGAAAAAATGAGAGAAATTTAGGGATTACAGGTTTGTGGGGATTTTTTCTTCTCAGCACTAAAGATTGAACCCCATACCTTTGCACTGAGCTACATATCCAATCTTGGTGCTTGTGCCACTGAGCTAAACCCCTGGCTTATCCAATCTTTTTGAAAAAAATTGTGAAACAGGGTGTTGCAAGTTGCCCAGGTTGTGCTAGAGCTTGTCATCCTCCTGCCTCAGCCTCCAGGAATGCTCAGATTACAGGAGTGCACCACCATGTCTGACTGGAATGAAGAGCTCTTAGAGACCAAAGAAAATGGAAAAAAGAAAAACAGAGAGTACAAAATTTGAATGAGCGTTTTTTTTCCCTTTGGGTTTGTTCTTTCTGTAGTGCTAGGAATTGAACTCAAGACCTCACAGCTGCTAGGTAAGTGCTCTACCACTGAGTTATGTTCCTAGCCTTTCTGGTAAGATTTCTTTGTTTTGCTTTTTGAGGCAGGGTCTTGCTATGCAGTTCAGGCTGGCTTTGAGTTTACTATGCAGCACAGGCTGGCCTGGACCTTGCAGCAATCCTCTTGCATCAGCCTCCTGAGTGCTAGGATTATAATTGTACACCACTATGTTCAGCTTCTGGTAAGATAGATTTGTTTATTTAAAAAAAAATTTGGGGAGGGGGCGTCTCTTTGAGACAGGGTCTTGCTATTCAGGTCAGGCTGGCCTTGCACTCACTTTGTAGCCCAGGCTAGCCTCAAACTTGCAGCAATCCTCCTGCCTCAGCCTGCCAAGCACTAGGATTACAGATATATGCCACCATCCCCAGAAATAATATACTTCTGAGAGTTTAACTATAAGTGAATCTGATCAAGCAAAGGAAAGAAAGCCAACATTGCTTCACAGGGAGACAGAAAGACAACGGGGGAACTGGACATTGGTGAATGGCCAGAGGAAAGGAAGTGAGCCATTGTGTGATTGTATCCGAGATGCACACTGGAGCTTATCACTGACTTGGATAAGGATCAAAAGTATAAACAACAAAGATATGAGAAACTTGGTCTGCTGGTGCTCAGCTGTAATCCTAGTTATTCAGGAGGTTGACACAGGAAGATTGAGAGTTTTCAAAATAAAATGGCCTGCAGTGACATTCCATGCTCACATCTATGATCTGGTAACTGTCTTCTTAACCAGGGTAACAACCACAATGATAACACAAGTAGGCTGCCTGTACTACATTTATTAAATGAGAATTCAGTAGCATGTGGATTCATCCCTGAACTGTGTTTATGAATGAATCAGAACTGAATCTGGAATGGAAATATGTTTCTTTTCTTGCTACCATTATGGCAGTACCTTCTGCAATTTTAGGTAAATTTTACCAAAGTTAATGTTATTAAAATAAATGTTGCTAAGATGTTACAAATACCTACACAATTTTCTTTCATAATTCCAGGGGTGTCATAAAACCAGTGAGCATCTTTTACATCTTGTGGAGTCAACTCTACTCGCTTGGCAGGTTTCTCCATAACCCTGACAGGCTCATTTCCCATGTCAAAGGCAAGTGAGTCGGCATCAAACTCAAAGTCATGCTTCTGTTCTGCTGAATACAAGAACGTCCTTCCAACTCTTCCTAAAACAAATTATATTGAGGTTATCAGTCATCACTTGAATGCTTTGACTCCAGGTGAAGTTTTTGTTATTATTTGTTTCAGCATTGGATATTGAACCTACAGACTCATGCATGCTATGCAAGCACACCAACCACTAAGCTACATCCTCACTCAGCCCTTTTGATTTTATTTTGAGACAGGGTTTTGCTAAGTTGCACAGGCTGGCCTTGAACTTGTCATTCTTATGCTTCAATTACAGGCATGTGCTACCATGCCTGGCAGCCAGAAAATTTTTACATTTGCCTCAAACAACTTACTAAGCCTAATTACACGGAAATGATGCTCTGAGGATATCTGCTTCCACTCCAGGCAGTGGGAATCAGTCTTGTAATGCCAAGTGTGTAGCTGGCTGTGTACACTGAAGTGAGCAGTGTTAGAAATCAGTTTCTTAAAGCAAGGTTGAAAAGAGCCAGGGGGAACACACAGAGAATTTAATTTGAAGCTGTGGCATAGTCAGTGAATTTTACTTTACCAGCTGTGTTGGTCTAGGTTTTGCAACAGTACCAGTCTTGCCTCTTAAGGGCTTCTGCTGCAGAATGAGGCAGGTGCTTGCTCTCTCTCTCCCTGCAGAAATGGGCTGGTCCAAGCCAGCTGGGTACAGCATCTCACAAAGAACATCAGTCAGCACAGTACCACACAGCATAGACAAGGGCTTCTCCAGGAAATCTTACCTACTACGTAACCATGCCTTTTCAAGACATTCAGCTGATTTTGTTCTTGCTCATTAAGATCTTCTTCTGATTTACTTGAATCATTTTTAAGTCTTTTTTGCCTTTCAAACATTCTGTAAGGAGTTGGGTTGCAAATAGGAAACTTCAGAAGGTTTAACGTAGTACCTGAAATATCAAAGAATGTTTTTAGAAAGGGGAATGGCAGATGCTGTGAATTCAAGACCTGCCTAAACTACCCAGCAAGACCCTGAATCAAAACAAAAACAAAAATACCCAAACACGAATAAGAGAAAGAAAAGAAGCATTTCTGAGAACCTACACTGTTTACTACTGCAATTTATTTCATTGAACTTCCTCAAGGAGCCATCCGTAAGATTACTCCTACTTGACAAATGAGGACACAGGCTCATAGATTGGCTCACAGGTTAACCCAGGATTTGAATACAAAATCTACAAGCCTGATTCACACCCATCCTGACAGTGCAGCTCGGCCCACAGACTGAGCAGTGCAGACCGCTGCCCGATCCCCTATACAATCTGTGCCTACTTCAGAGGAGATCAGGTGCACTGAGGGTGGCAAGTCTGTAGGCAATCCTGTGTATACTTAAAACAGTGCAAAACAAAAATAAGGCTGGGGATTTAGCTCAGCGGCATAAGCACCTGCCTTGCAAGCAGGCGGTGGTGAATTCAATCCCCGGTACCGATAAAAAACAAACAACAACAACAAAAAAAAACAAGTGCAAAACAAAAACAAATAGGACAGTTTGGTCCACTTACATACAATGAAGAACATAAAAGACCCATTTTTTTTCAATGTCAGAGGTTTTTTTTGGCATTCATTACAGTCCAGGTTAGCCTCATCCTCCTGCCCTCAGCCACCCCAAAGCTAAGATTATTTTCACTAGGCACGGAAGTTTCGTAAAAATCATAAAACTGACATTTCTTCTCAACATAGCCACACATCGATTTCTATTTAATGAATGACTCTGGTGTTACACATATTTAGTGCACCAGTTTTGAGAACAAATTCAGGATATGAAAAGTAAAATTCAAGGAGTGGAGGGAAGTACAAAGTAAAAAGGAAGTATATTTTTCCAGAAAAATTTACACAGAAGGAAGCTACAGGGGAAATCTCCAAGAGAGCAGGAACTGTTCCCAGAAATACCAACGTCCAGTGACCACAACTGGACGTTGTGCTCCATAAACATTTGTATTAGAAAGTAACAATCAGACTGCATTCCCAAGCACGCAGCTGATCCAGGAGGGAGGTGTTAAAAGTAGTGACAGAATCCGTAAAGGGACAGCTCCAAGTAGCCCGCAATGGACATCAAGGCTAGCTGCACTAGACCACGAGCCTCACCTGGCCAAGGCGAGATGGTAGCCCTGTCGATGGCTTCAGCGCCCTTGGCAGTGCAGTAATCGGATTGCAGGAGCGTGTTGAAGAGAGTGGACTTGCCGGTGTTGGTGGCGCCCACCAAGTAGACGTCGCCGCGGTAGCGCCACGCGCGCTGAAGCGCAGAGATGAGTTCTTCAATTCCGTAGCCTGTCTTGGCGCTGATCAGACGCACGTCCCTGACTACCGTGCGGGACCTAGCCAACGAATTCCCGTCCTCCTCTGCGTCCTCGTCCCCGCCGGTGTGCTGTGGCCCTTGGTGACCAGGGGCCGCCAGGAGCCCCGCGCGGACGCATTCGTCCCACAACCGGTCCCGGAGCCGCCGCAGGTAGCCGGGCGCGTCCTGGGGCAGCAAGTCCACTTTGTTACCCAGGACGATGAGTTGCTTGGGGCCCACGAGCGCGGGCAGCTCGGGCAGCAGGGTGTCGGGCAGGTCGAGCAGGTCCACCATATAGAGCACCAGGGCCGGGCCCGGCCTCCGTAGCGCGGCGCTCACTAGCTCCAGGTACTGTCCCCGGGTCACCTGCAGGCGCAGCGCACGCCGGTGGTGCAGCAGCAGCCAGCAGCGTTGGCACACAAGCCGCCCCGAGCCTCCGTCCGCCGGCGCCGCCCGGTGCAGCTTTTCGCCAGGAAGATAGCCGGGCACGTGGGGGTCCTGACAGTGCAGCTCAGCCCCGCAGCCCGAGCAATGCAGACCGCTGGCCGGCACTGGGGGGTCGGGGAACTCCGCGGCTGGGGGCACGAGGCCTTCAGGCCGCAGTTTCTGCTGAAGCTTCTCCTCCTGCCGCTGTCGCCGCTGCCGCTCCTTCTCCTGCTGCTGCCGCACCACCTCCCGCACCTCCTCAGGGGTGGGCGCGGGCTCCGGCTCCAGGACGTACTCGGGGAACAAAAACCGCTCCTCCACGCCAGTGTCTCTTTGGTCGTCCCCATTTGCCGCGGGGCCACGAGGAAGCCTACGGCCCAAGAAGGAGAAGGCAGCCGCACATCTCCTCTCCAAGAGCGGCTCCGGGAAGCCATGGCGCGAAATGGGAGACGCGGATCCGCGCAGGACACCGCACAGCAGCCAGCGCGTTAGGCGTGTAGGTAACATGAGCAGTGCAGCGCCAGCGGAGCCCCGGGTGCGCATGCGTCTTGAGACTCGCGCGCAAGCTCAGGAAATACCTGGTGATAAATCCCGTGAGTTCTCGCGATGAGAGCGCTGAGGCTTAAGGAACTATTTAAAGCGACGGCAAAGGCAATAGGTACTTAGCTGGGGGGGAGGGGAGAAAAGGAGTGTACGGTGTTCACTTTCGTGCTTGTTCAGCACTCCTTTATGGACCTTAGTAAATCACATTTTGGAAAGATTTTGATCTTTAGAAGTGAAAATTTTGCATTGGATGTTGAGGACTCACAACTTCCATTAACAATTTACTTGGCCATTTTCTTTTTTTCTTTTTTCTTTGGGGGCTGTCCTATCAGCCTGAACCCGCAATCCACAACAGGTGCTGCTCAACTTTTGCTTGCGGCAGCTGTGGTGGGACAACCTAAAACGCAGTCTGCGCAGGCGCAAGTCACGTGTAGGCGTATGAGTTGGCCCAGAGGATTCTGGGAACGCCGGAGACGGAAATTGCCGTGTGTCTCTCTCTCTCTCCAGGTGTGGGAGGCTGCTGCGCTCTTGTGTGATTTCGAGAATTAGGAGCTCCAGAACTCGTTGCCAAGATGTATGACGCAGACGAAGGTAGGTACATTTCGCGCCGACCCGTTTTAAGTAGGAAAGCGCGGGGGAACGAGTAGAGTGAGGGTTTGGGGCCTGCCCACTGCTCGAGGCGTTGGAGTCCCCAGTCGTGTCCCCCGCGTTCGGCAGGCGCGGATGGAGCTGGGCTTGCAAGAGGCGAAACACCAAAGAACGAGTCACTAATGTTTCCGGAAAGGTTGACTTCTGTTATTGGCTTCGTCTCGTTCTGTGACATCTGATAGCACATTCCAGTGTTGAAATAGCGTGCAGAGCCCTCGACGGATTGTGTTAAGAACTTGTCAGAAGAAAAGCTCCCCCTTTTTACTTTTCTTAATACTGCGGTCAATTTTTTGAGCATCAGCCTGTACCGACACTAGACCCTGGAAATACACCGGGAACAAAGAATGAGCTGAATGATTGGCTTAGTTTGGCATTTTTTTTTTTTTTTTTTTTGGTCTTTTTCCTTTTTGTTGGTACCGGGGATCGAACTCACGACCGCCTGCTTGCAAGGCAGGTGCTTAAATGCCGCTGAGCTAAATCTCCAGCCCCAGTTTGGCATTTTTTAAATACTATTTTGAAGTTTACGTAAATTGCCTTAAAAGGTGACCTTTAAACTTCATTTCACAAGATGAGAGATCGTATGTATTCTCGTGAATAGGGTCAAATCTTACTTTTCACATACAAAATTCTTGATTATGTCTGGTGTGTCTCTCAGGCTGGCCTTGAATTCCTGGGTTTAAGTGATCCTTCTGCCTCTTACTCCCTCCCCTCAATGACTAGAGGTGGGCGCTGTATCCAGCTTATTTGTAATTTTATAGTTTCTTTTATCTTTATTTTCCATATCTGCTGTTTCACACTTAATTTTCTTCTAGTTCTCACGTGCTTGACCATGCGTAACAGTTCTCCTATTCTCTTAAATGTTTCACAGAGAGAAAATAGAAGCAAATGCTTAAACTTTTAAAGGTGTTTTAAGCTTCTTATTCATATTTTGTGTCTAGAAATTTAGTAGAATCATTGCATTCTTTTTAGCTACTGTCAGTGGAAGGAAAACATTTTTTAAAAAAAAGTTAATAGGTGCTTGTTACATGCAGTACTGAGTCTCAAATCTGAGCCCATATTGCATGTTAGACATGCGCTCTGTATCTGAGATGCATCCCCAGGACTGCTTTAAATTTTTTGAGGTCATGTATTTTTGTCAGGCACCAGCTAGAAAATAGTGTTAAAGTACCATTTTTCACTATGTGTCCAGTTAGAACTCCTTCCACAGTAGTAACTACTGTCCTTAGTTTCTTTTTCTTTATGGGTATTTAAGCAAACATGAATAGGATTCTGTTTTCCCCATTTAGAGACAAATAGTAGCACATACGCTTTCCTGCACTTTTAGTTTTTGCTTCATATGTTTAAGTGATTTTTGTTTGTTTTGGTATTGAATTTAGGATCTCATGCTTGCCAGGCAGGTGCTGTGGCACTGAGTTGTGTTGCTGGCTTTAAGTGATTTTCACGTCAGTACACAGAGCAGCATTGTTACTTAGTTTGTATAGATGTAGCATAACTTTAGCTTTTTTATTGGAGGTATTTGAGTTATTTTCAGTCGGTTTCTGATTCACACAGTGCTGCAGTGAGTAATTTGTATATATCCTTTTGCCCAAATTTGAAGGATAAATTGCTACATATGGAATTGTCAGATCTAATGACAAACACTTTAACATTTTGTTAGCTGTTGCCAAGTACTATAATAATGAATTTACTAATTTACATCCTCATTAGCAATGTATAATAATCCTGTGACAAAAAGCTTATTCCAAGCTATTCCAGCATAAGTTATATTGCATTCCTCCTATCCTCTGAAGTCTTTATTAGATAACACTCTTAACAGTTTTCAGCCACTCCTCTCCTCTTCCTTCGTTTCTTTTTTCACCACTGCTTTTCAGCTGCCGTCTTTCTATATGAAAATGCCAGGTCTCTCCTGTCTGCAAGGAAAGAAGTTAAATCTCTTTTTATTTTTCTTTTGCTGGTTTACCTTCTCTTTCCTTTCACAGCTAATTTCTTTTTTTAAAAAGAAGGTTGACCTGTTTCAGAGCCTACCTTCGAGGTCCTTGTCCATTACACTCTGATTCTGCTGACGATACTGTATTAAAACAGCTCTTCCTAAATTGTCCAGTCTTCTTTTTTTTTTGTTTTTTGGTCTTTTTCGTTTTTATCGGTACCAGGGATCGAACTCACGACTGCCTGCTTGCAAGGCAGGCGCTTATGCCGCTGAGCTAAATCCCCAGCCCGGTTGTCCAGTCTTCTTAATGGATACATTTGACGGACACTTAAAACCTCTCAGCTCTGGTGTCAGCATTGTTGATAACTTTCTCCTGGAAGCCCCTCCTCACTTCCCACTTGGTTTTCTGACCTGTTGACTTTGCTCTTTCTCATTCCCGATTGTAGTTCAGAGTCTTCTCAGGTGATTGCTGGGAGCTCTTTTTCAAGGCTTTAGTTGTATCTGCAGTTGAGTAACTTTGAAATATATGATTTAGTGCAGATGACCCGCATAGCTAACTGCCCCTAGACAACTGGGTTATCTCCGGGTCTGAACAGAGTTCACTGAGTTCTACTCAGCTCCTTCCAGAGCTGTGCTTTTCTCTATCCGTCTCAGTGACTGGTAGCACCCTTCTCCCTTCTGTTTCTGGCTATGGAAGAGCAAACTTATTTTATTTATTTTGAGATGGGGTCTGGTTATGTTGCCTGAACCGGCCTCAAATGATTGTCCTGTCTGAGCCTCCTGAGTAGCAGGAATGACCGGTGCAGAGCGTCATGCTTGACTCTTGAGCATTTACGTGTAGCATTGAGAATCAAACCGAGGGCCTTGAACGTTCTAGGCAGGTCCTCCTCCACTGTAATTCTGCTTCAGCTTCCCCACAGGAATATACCACACACCTGAACACCTGTTTCATTTTGCTTGTTTGTTTGAGACAGTGTCTTGCTATGCAGTCCAACCTGGCCTTAGACCCACTGTGTAGCCCAGCTTGCCTGTGGTGATCCTCCTGTGTCAGCTTTCTGGGTGCTGGGATGACAGGCAGGTGCTACCATGCTTTTCCTATCATTTTTGATTGCTATTTTTCACCCCTATGTTTAATCACCCACCAAGTCCCGATGGTTCTGTTGGCTATGTAAAATGCAGTCACTTCTTTACCCTTTCTGCCACAGTTCCAGTTCTTGCCATCACTGCCTCTTACCTGGGATGCTCCTGCCTGGCTTGTGTCTGTCCTCCTAGTTTTGTCTCTTTATACCACTCTCCGTACTGGCCGTGGTGATCTTTGGGAAATGAAAAGCTGACCTACCCCGGCCCTGGGTAAAACCTTGTAATGGTCCCTCAAAGCTCTTGGTAAAGATAGGATTTTGCTCAGTCTCCTTTAGCCCGCGTGCTGTGCACCAGCCACCTCAGCCTTCTGCAGCGCACCGCGGTGTCTTTAATTGTGAAGGCTTCCTTTTTGGGGTACTGCGATCCTCCTCCTTTCACTGCCTCTCTTTTTCCTGCTTTGCTCCTGTTCCTCATGTGAGGTCTGTGTTTAGCTGAGCTTCGGGGAGTCTTCCTTGACTCTTTGGGTCTTGGTTAGGAGCGTGCATTTCACTCTGTCTTTGCTGACTCCATCTTACATGTTTGTGTTTACCCTGCAGGCGATAACCTCCCTGCGCACATGGCCGTTTTCCTCTTACTGAGGCTGTGCTCAGGGCTTGCGTGTAGTGAATATGCAGACTGTGTAAGTGCTTGACGAATGGGTGCACCAACCAGTGAGTCTCTTTCGTGGGCTCACTTTGTTTATGTGACTCTGAAACAGGTGTTCCTAATCTTCTGTCTTCAATCTTTTCCCTTTTCTACGTAGATTCCTATTGTATCATCCATTTGTGAATAATTCAGTTCATTCACAAAGTAGGAAGCTCTTGTTTGACCTTTATTTAATAACCAGTTGTGTACAGGAAGTGTGTGAAGGGATGTGTGATCTAAGGCCCCTCACTGTTTTCTCTTTCCCCATCTTTGAATTTATTTCACCTGTATGGCAGTGATTGTTCAATTCCTTATTAAGGCAAGATGTCTTAATGCTTTTTTATATTTTTTACCCCTTCCCCATATGTAGGGATTTGTCATTCTAGTACATTCAAGAAGTATGTATTTAGGGGCTGGAGATTTAGCTCAGACCCTAAAGTAAGTGCCTGCCTTGCAAGCAGGCAGTCGTGAGTTCAATCCCTGGTACCGATAAAAAGGAAAAAGACAAAAAAAAAAAAAAAAAGAAGAAGTATGTATTTGAAAATTTACTTTATTGTGGAGTGTGGTGGTGCACACCTATAATTCCAGCACTTGGGAGGCTGAGACAGGAGGAATGCCAGATGTCTGGGGCCAGCTTGGGCTACATCGTAAGGATCCCTTTCCCCCACATTTTAAAAATTTTGGTTGTATATAAAATTTTGAATCTAAGGTCATAGG